GTTCATTGGGTTTCACATGCAGGGAAGGGAGGAGGGGGGGCGCCCATCAAGCAGGGGCCTCTGGAGGGCTGCAGCCTGGTCAAGAGGAAGGGGGCTCATGGGCCTTGCTTGACCACAGGGCAGGAGGCCTTAGGGCAAGGCTGGGAGGTCCCTTGGACTCCAGCTCTCCCTTGGCCCTGCCTTAAGGGGCATCCAAGGAGCTTTCATCCAAGGACCTTCCCTGTGAGAATCCGCTCCCCGCTTTCTTTCAGTCAATCGCATCCTGTTTCCTTCAGCAGCCAATGGGCGACACACAGGCTAACAAGCAGCAACTAACTCAGGAGTGCAAAAATGAAGTGAAGCTGCTAGGAACCCCTAGGACTGTAAGCTAGGGGGCTGCGGGGTGACAGGAAGGGGGTCAAGAGCCCCTCAAGGAAACCAGAAGACTGTAGAACTGAGGAAGAATGGGGGGGGGGGGCACCAGAAGTGCCATTCCATGGGACAAAGGTTGTGGAGGTGGAGGGCTCCTTTGTGGTTCATCCCAAACTCAGATGCGATTCCCCCGCCTTGAATCCCTCTGGCCTGATCACCCCCTTACCTGTCCCTCTTTCCACTTGCTCTCTCCTCTGCCCAGATGACCTCGGCCACCAAGGTGTACTACAGCCAGACCACCCAAACCGACAGCCACCCCCTGATTGGCCCGGCGCTGCGGAAAAGGCGGGTCATGACCAAAGACGGGCGGAGTAACGTGCGCATGGAGCACATCGCGGACAAGCGCTTCCTGTACCTGAAGGACCTCTGGACGACCTTCATCGACATGCAGTGGCGCTACAAGCTGGTCCTCTTCTCGGCCTCCTTTGCCGGCACCTGGTTCCTCTTCGGGGTGGTCTGGTACCTGGTGGCGCTGCTGCACGGGGACCTGCTGGAGTTCGACCCTCCCGCCAACCACACGCCATGCGTCATGCAGGTGCACACGCTGACCGGGGCCTTCCTCTTCTCCCTGGAGTCCCAGACCACCATCGGCTACGGCTTCCGCTACATCAGCGAGGAATGCCCGCTGGCCATCGTCCTGCTCATCAGCCAGCTGGTCCTCACCACCATCATGGAGATCTTCATCACTGGCACCTTCCTGGCCAAGATCGCCCGACCCAAAAAGCGGGCGGAGACCATCAAGTTCAGCCGGAGCGCCGTGGTGGCTCAGCACGATGGTAAGACCTGCCTGATGATCCGGGTGGCCAACATGCGGAAGAGCCTCCTGATCGGCTGCCAGGTGACAGGGAAGCTCCTGCAGACCCACCTGACCAAAGAGGGGGAGAACGTCCAGCTGAACCAGGTCAACGTGGACTTCCAAGTGGACACGTCTTCCGACAGCCCCTTCCTCATCTTGCCCCTCACCTTCTACCACGTGGTGAACGAGCGCAGCCCCTTCCGGGACCTGGCCCTGCGCACCGGAGAAGGTGACTTCGAGCTGGTGGTCATCCTCAGCGGCACCGTCGAGTCCACCAGCGCCACCTGCCAGGTGCGCACCTCCTACCTGCCCGAGGAGATCCTGTGGGGTTACGAGTTCACTCCGGTCATCTCTCTCTCAGCCAGCGGGAAGTACGTGGCCGACTTCAGCTTCTTTGAGCAAGTGATCAAGGTGGCCCCTCCGTGCTGCCTCCAGGAAACCGCACGGCTCGGGGACCCCGAGAAACTGAAGCTGGAGGAATCCTTCCGGGAGAAAGCCGAGCGGGAAAGCGTCCCGCTGAGCGTGCGGATCAGCAACGTTTGAGTCCCCCTGGGGGAACCGGCCTCTCATAGCTTCTAGGCGTCTGACGCAGCCTCCCCCCCCCCATCCCTCCTTCCCTGGCCGGGGTGCCCCCTGCTCTCCTGCCAGCCTCTTCAGCTGCAGAGGGGGCAGCGGCTCCCCCAAAGAGAAGGCAGCGCCCAAGAAAAGGAACTCTTCCGCCCCCTGTGCGCTTCTATTTTGCCCCCTTCCTCAGACCAGGCAGAGACGGAGGCCGGGCTCACAAGGACAGCCAAACGCACCACCAGGGAGACAGGCCTGAGAGTGGCCGTGGCTGAGGCCCCCTGCGAGGGAGGCTTCCGTGGACGCAGCTCTGCTCTGGCCACATTGGGTCATGGGATCCCCAAGCCGCAGGTGGCTGGAGCCTTGAGGAGGACCCGTGAGGGTCCCAGCCTCTGCACGCGCACACACACACACACACACACACACACACACACACACACCCTGCGTGATCACAGCTGCCGTTTTTGTGTTGTTACTGTAAACCATCAAAATGCTGCACCTTTTAAACCCAAGAAGGCGAGGCAGCTGCCCAGAGCAAGGGGGCCCTCCAAGAGCAGCTGGGAAGAAAAATAAGAGTGGGAAGGAGAAAGCAGGAGAAGAAGAGGCTGTCAGCTGGGGGAACCCACTGGATTCCAAGCTAGTTCAAAATCAGCTGGTGGGGCCTTTTCCTCAAGCTCCATCCGTCTCATTTTCATCCGGCCAAACCCAGCCCAAGTATTTTCTTTCAAAAGGTAGGATATTTCAGCAAATGTAGAAGGGAAACTGAGGCACGAAATGTTTCATGGACTTTGAAGCTAAAATAATCCTGCCTGTTTTCAGGTTGCCTGATCAAGGGGGAACCTGCCAGCTCCCCAAACTGTGCCAGAAAAAAAAATCTGCTCGGGAGAGAAGGAGTCACTTTGGGCACACACTGCCTGCAGATGGATGCCCACTGCAGTCAAGGTTGCCCTGAAATTTTGTCCCCCCCCTGCCCCCCAGGAGAGCCCGCCCGCCTGCCTCTCCAGTTGAGCCTGTTGAGGTCTTCCAAGGGTCTTGGAGCTGGAGGAGCGAGGCGAGGCGTGGGAACCTCCGGTCTGCAGCAGCCACTGACAGTGGGATCGATTGGGCGGTGGGCCGGGGAGTGGGGGGGCTCAACCCTGCTGTTCTGCGCAGGAGTCAAGCTGGCCTGGCCTGGATGGTTTCTGATGGGAACAGAAGAGTCCAAACTGGTGTTTTGCACATCAAGAAAGAGGGAGAACGTAGCTTCCTCTTGGGACATAAATGTCTACTATGATATTTATATGTTTATTTATATAAATGATCTATATGTTGGTACTCGTAAAAAAAAAACAGAAAGCAAAGAAGAAAGGAGCGAAGGAGTGATGTTGCACTTTGTCAAAAACGAGTTAAAGAGCAGACACAATGCTGTCAGCACCAAAAAGGAAGTTCATCAGAGATTACACTGCAGTCCTCATCCCTTTCTCCCACAGCTTTAAATTTTTAACACAAAATTAGCAGTTCCTGAGACTTCCTTCCTTCCTTTCCTTTGTTTTTTCTTTTCCTTTTTTAAGTTTGCAGCCTGGACCTATACCTAACAGATAGCACTTCATAGGTAGTTTGAAATGCTTTGACCTAAAATCCTCGTTCCTGGCTTGCACATGAATTTCGGCTAGAAAATGAATTGCGACTCCTCTCCCTGAATTTCACAGAATCATCCTTCGGTCTGTTTTCCTCCAAGCCCCATGGCATCCATAGGCAAACGCCGGGCAAATGCAGACCTGGAGATTTGGAGAGACCAGCTGGATCAGTACTTGCCATTCAAATCCATTTGGATCTAATGGAGATCAGGCCTTAAAGTTTTGGGAGACACGAAGAGGGAGAAGGAGGTTAATTCTTCTTCCTTTCTAAACCCAGGGTTAGAAAGGGCCAGGTGTCCTCCTCCCCATAGGAGGAAAGGGCCTCCTCGGGTGAGGCTGGTCCCACCAAATTTGCAGGCCTCGAATAAAGAAAGAACACGTTTGTTTGTTTGTTTTTGGAAACAAAGATGCTGCACAGAATAGAGGGGGGGTTCCCAGTGTTTCTTCCAGAGAGTTGGGGGTTCAGGCACGCAGACAGGAAAACAAAAAGGGAACTTTCTAACTTAGGAACAAGAACTAGGATGGTGCAATGCAAGAACTAGGGTGGTGCAATACACCTCTCCAGTGTGCATTCATGGCCCTGAGGAGCCAGGCCAGCTGCAGGGTTCCGCACAAGGGTCCCTCCCAGCCTCTCAGAAGGAGGAAGAAGCACCCGGGGTGGCAGCCCAGCTGATGCCCTGCCTGTCCCAGGCCAGCCGTCCACAAACACACCCAGATGGGTTGCAAACTTTCCTGAGAGGGGGGTGGGAAGCAAATAAACAAGGGGCAAAGGGAAGGTTTCCTGGGCAGAGTCCAAGCTGGCCATAACCTGTGACTGGTGGTCATTTCTCCGGCCCTTTTATACTACCAGACTCTCAGCTTTGTGTGGCTGAATCAACCAGAGTCTCTGGGAGTTATTGCACACAACCCACAAGACCCCAATAAGGACGGGTGTTTTGATGACTGAGTTCAAACTGCATGTTAATCTGATTTCCATTTTTAAAAAAGTTTATTTTGTGCCTATTAATTACGTACTGTACTTCATAAATATGAAGGTTTTTATCCACTGAAGAAGACTTTTTGCACTAAAAGTCCAATTTTATTGGCGGGTGAAAGGGAGCTGTTTTTTCTGTTTAGAACAAAATCACTAAATAAAGACAAGCTTAAAAGTCAGATTTTCAAATGTCTCGTTGCTTTAATAGATAGTGATGTGATGAAATCAGTTTATCAAGGAGGGGGCACGGGGCACAGGCATTGCTGAAGGTGGGGGGGGGCTTTCCCCAGGATTACTGCACGGCACCCTCTTCCTAATTTTATTCAACGCAAGTCCTCGGGTGCAACTCCAACATGTGGGCAGTGGGGCGGAAGTGGGAATGGCAGCTCGGTGGCTTTCTGGAGAACAATCCCGCCTTGCAGAGCTCCGCTTTTTTCCAGCGGGGAAGCATCCCACAACGACCCGCTCACACGCACAACGGCCCAGAAACAGCGGGATTTGGAGAAACGCAGCGAACGTGTCTCGCTCGGCTCTTTCCAGACCCCAAACGGTCCCAGGAGGTCCTTCCCACCGCACCTACCTCCAGCTAGAATCGGGGGTCCTTCCTCCCACGCGAGAGTCGTTCCCGGCCAAGAGGGATCGGGGCCAGGCGGGGCGCGACCGATGGTTCTCCCAGCTAGTGACCCACGCAAGGCGCTTCCTAGAGTAGAGGCTCCTTCCGGAGAAGGCCCCCTTCGGCTTCCCTTGAGCTCCCCCGCTTTGGTCTCGGCGCCTTCTCTCCAGAAGCGATGGAGAATTTACTCCGCCCAGAGAGCGCAGTCCTGCCCTGCGCCCACAGTGGGCTGCAGCCCGCGCGCCCCCTTTGCAATCTGGACAAGGCTTCGCCGCCACCGGAGGGCGTCCTTTCTCGACTCGGTGGACTGCTCCGGTCCGCCTGCCCGCCCAGCCCCGAGCCCCGAGCCCGGTGCAGCCGCAGTCGGCCCGAATGAACGTAGCTGCGGAGCGTTGCCCTTCGCGCTTCAACTCGGAGGGAGGAAGATGAGCCTCCTGCGGGGCTTCGGTCCCCAACGCGCTCTGCTTCCCTGGGGTTTGGCAGCTTCTGAAATCCTCTCCGCTGTCAGGACCCTCGGTTTGGACAGGTTGCTGGGCCAGTGCCGGAGTCTCTCGGCCCAAGGCTCCGGACAGCATCGTATTGTCCACGTCCCCCGCGGCCTTATTTATGATCAGTTTCCGACACTACTCAGTTTGCTCGGTTCTGGACAGACAACCCCACCCCCAAGTCATAAAATTGCAGTTAACAGCAGATGTATAGCAAGTCAGCAAGACAGCATAGCAAGCGGCGACGCCCTCGCAAAGCAGGGACTCAGATAGCACCCAAGGTCCGTAGAAGGCAAAGGCAGAGGCCACCAGCGATCGACAGGAAGGAAGGTTGGCGCCCATTGGGCCACAGGAAGCCCCTCTTGGCTCGGAAAGGGAGGCTGCCCCCCCCCCCCCCCCGAAGACGCTCTGCCAACCAGAGCCTGAAATACCAGTCAGACAAGGCAACACTTGGAGGAGCCGTTGTTTTACCTAGATGTTTACTTAAGAAAGACATCTCTCTTCTGTCCTGGAGAACCACGGACCCCACCCCCACCCACCCCAGGCTACAGGTTGCACCAGGTTGAGCTTGGAAAGCGTGCAGCTGGCTCTGGTCAGGGTTTGCAGGAGTTAAGTTAGAAACCACAAGTTGCACCAACTGCATATTTTTTCCAGAAGTGAAGCTTCTTGGTTCTGGGGAGGTTTTGAGCCCTCCAGTTGGACCTATAAATTGTTTGTTAAATTTATATGCTGGAATTAAGGCCAGGAGTTTTATCTATTGATTTATTCTATTTCAATAGCCCCCCCCCCCCCCCCAATTCTGGACTACTTACAATTCTAAAATTATAAAGCATTTAAAGCAATTATTAAATACAATAAAAAGCATCCACCCAAAAAACGGAAGAAAATGGCAGCAGCTCCAGCAGCAGCAGCAGTGACAATGGAGCCAAGGCAGTGGGCCCTCCCCGCATTCTGAGCGCCCCCGGACGGAGGCACGTTTTGAGCTGCTGCTGCTGCTGCTGCTGCTGCTGCTGCTGCGGCAGCTTTTCTCCACCTGCCAAGGGCCTGTCCCCCTGAACTTTGTTGAGTAGTGGGGCTTCTCCTCCCGCCGAAGCTTCCTTCCCTTCTCACTCGACAGAGCTGAGGCATGTGACTTGCTCTCCAGACCACCCCCAGGAACAAGGGAGTTCCTTCTGAGGGGGGGGGAGGGAAGAGGAGACGCCCGTTTCCTTGTGACTCACTTTGCCCATTTGTCTCCGAAGGGCTGACATGGACTCCCACGTCCTCCTGGCGATCCTACTGTTCTGCTCCGCAGG